TAGTGGTTCGTCATCGCTCTGTCTGAGGCTGGCCAGAGCAGCTGACGTTATGTGATGAGGCCGACTTGTCGCATACTGCGCTGTGAACCGTCTGACCAGGGTGCCGAAGCTGTCAATTGACTCGGCGGGTAGCTGGGTATACCAGTTGAGTGCAGCCCCCTTGAGCGAGGTTGGAAAAACCCTGCACAGTATAGCATCCTCATTAGTATAGAGGTTTACCTGGGTGGTGTATAGATTGATATGCTCGTCCGAGTCGGTTGTGTCGTCGTAGCGGTCGAGGTGGAAAGGCTTCCGCCCAAAGGGGAGAGGTGTCTCCATGATACCGTCCACGAAAGGATGGCGGCGGAAGGTCGTCTGGTTCCCCGTGCCGTGGGCAGGGGCGTTGCTGACGTCGTGCGTCGACCTGTTCGTCGGCGCGTGAGATCGATGTGTGGGAGGCTTGGGGGTCGGTGCCCTAGCCGCTGTTGGCGGTTGTGAAATCGAGTGCCCTTCGTCCTTATTCAGGTTACTCTGCGGAGGGGGTTGATATGAGGGACGCCGAGGTAGTTGGGTGTGAATGCGCTCGTTCTCGGCGCGTAGTGCCGCTAGGTCGGCTTTATTAGCGGTGCGCGTTGCTGCTAGATCAGTTTCGTGCTTGGCACGCATGCTTTGTAGGTCGGCGACGTGTTATTGTCGCATCTGCTCGACCTGGTCGATTAGCCGCCTCAGGGTTACAGCGTCGTTGTCCATGGTAACAGAGTGACTTGTGTCGTTTGTTGCTCGTCTGATGTGGCTTCTCGTAGAAACCATGCAGGTGGCCGATAAGAGCTTGTCCTCTGTTATGGCTTCTAGTGAAAACCATAAGAATGGCCGATAAGAGCTGGTCTTGATCGGCCCCACGGTGGGCGCCAAATGTTCTTACCGGAAATCTGCTGTAGAGCTGATCCGCCGGGTAAGATCGGCGAGCCTCCTTCACTGGTACGCTGGTGCTCCAAGATGGGGGTGGTACCTGCAAAAGAGACTCCGATGCTAAAGTTAGTGTTTGTGGGAGTATGAGTCTCGTATAAATAATGCACATACCTTTGTGTGAATTAGGGTTGTCTTGGGCCTTGGGCCTGAGATAAGACATGATATGATAAGATATCATATGATATGATATGATAAGATATCATATGATATGATATGATAAGATATCATATGATATGATATGATATGATATGATGAGATATGATATGATATAATTGGAGGGCGGTTCTGATCTGGGACGAGATCCCCGGGTTCGGGAATGATCTGCCCAAATATCGGGCCCCAAATACCGGGTTGACGTCGCTCAGCGTGTGCCCGAGATGGTTTTGTATCGCTAATCCGGACTTGGAGCCCGGGTGCGAAATACGGTCAGTACATCATATATTATATAACTAATTAATGTTGAGGTATAAAAGTATTTAATTGTGCTTCTTTTGTATGTTTGTTGTTATAAGTAAGACATATTATGAGATTAATAATGTTAGGGATGTCACTTACACCTTATTTTATATTCATGTTTTAATAAAATATCGAGATTTAGTTAGAATTTAAATTATATTATATGTTCATGTGTTTGAAAGATTGTTAATTTTTATTATTGTTATTTTTAGTAAACACTTATATTAGCTTTATATTTTCGATTAGTATGTTATGTAATATCCTTTAATTATACTTGTTTTATTTTTATGATTATGAACTCCTTTTCATTTAGTTTTAAATATTACACTTAATGTAATGTGTGAAGTAAAATGTAATATATAAATACTCAAATCGAAATAGTTACAACTATATAATTAATAAGTTTAATTAATATTAATAAAAAAAAAGAATAATTAATATTTTTTAATATCTTAAATAACAAATAATTTGAGACGGCAAAATATTTTAAAATGATAAACAAAATGAAACTAAAGAATAATATTTATGTTAAGCTTTCCTGAGAAATAAAAGACAGAACTTAGTAAAGTACATGATAACCTTGTCATATAAAGTACAATTTGATAAGCATTAGCAATGAAAAAAAGAAATAAGTCGTAACCAAATCAAATACTTCACCATTCAATTAAAAACCCATTAACATGAATGATTCATATGAACATAGATATAGTAGTATTATTTATGGATTCTGATTAAGCAAAATCCTATCTTGCCGTTTAATCAAGAAATACAAAAGTCAAATTCCAAATTCCGAAAGCAACTTCAAGCTGACTCCAATGAAACTGTTCTGACCTGCTAACTAAGCAATCATTAAATAGTCTTTGGACACAATTTGAAATAACAAATGTTAACAGTTACTGTAAATACTATTCATTCCACTAATTTGGATTCTCACATGTGATTTTTTTTTTCTTAGAATATCTAAATTGATAATAGTGATTAATTTTCTTACTATATAAAAATATTTTAAAGGATGGAATAGCTGATATCAAAATATTTTAATTTTTTTTTATGTATACGGATTTGATTTCACTTCACACCATTTTTTTCATCCGGTAGAAAATCCTTTTTAAGGAAATCTCTTGACATTTATTGACTAATTTAATAATTAATGGGTGGAATTTTTCGTTTAGTGGACAACTCTCTAAAAATATCCCGTATACTTAAGAACTAGTTGAGTAATTGTAATTGGGTGAAACTTCTTGTAGATAAAATTTGTGTAATTTTTCTAGTTGAGCCTCTAATGATAATCCCAATATATCATTACCAATTTTGTGGATAAAAAATAGTAAATACTATCTGTTCAATATTTTGATTGAGACAAAAGGTTTTCTCAATAAGAAACAATTTTATTTAAATTAAATAAAATAATTATTGATTTTTTTTAAGTATTTAATAAGAGGAAGGTTTAAATAATACGGTGTAATTTTTACTAAGTATTACATCGCTTAATAATTTTATATTAAATATAAATTTCTTAAATTTAATCGTTAGATTAAAAGTTAGATTATAAATACAAAATTTATATTAACTCAATATAATTTGATACTTTATTTTTATAAAATAAAATTAATGTAATATATACATTTTAAATATAATACAATATGAATACTTTGATTATTTTAAGTTGTTATTCAATTTTAATAAAGATATTTTTTCTCACTTAATTGTTGTAATCCTTTTAGAATAGTTGTATTTTTTTATTGTCATTTTCAAAGTTAAAAATAATATTAATTACTTTTTAAAATCATACTTTTACTTTCTACCTAATTTTTTTAAAATAAATTTGCATATCTCACAATAACTAATATACATCTATTATAAAATAAAAATAAAATGGATATAATAGAAAATTTTTAAAATATTTTATGGAAAATAGAAAATTATTATATTTATTGATTTATAACTTTTAAGAAAAAGTATTAAAAAGGAATGAATGTAATACTTGTTATTTAAGATTACTAACAACACATAATCGGAGCAACAGTAAATAAAAATTAAATGAATAAAATGAACTTGAACTTACGAAGTTAAAAGGTCAAAAGGGATAATAACTAACTCATTAATATTGTTTGTTTAAAATATTTGTGAGTTTATTGTTGTAATATTATTTACTATTTGAATTATGTATTAAAATTTTATTTAAGTATTTTTTTATTTGTTTCAATTTTTTTTAAATGTATTTGTTTTTTAATTTATTAATCCGATAATCATCCAACTTGATGCAATCTATCGTAGTTGGATTGATTTAGGTTGGATTAAAAAAATTGACCAAACTTAACTAAATTGAATTAAGTTGAGTATTAAAATAATTTAAATTCAATTCAATTTATTTACACTCCTTACTGTTAACTAAAAAAATTAACGTAAATTTTAAATTATAAATATATCTTTTTCCTAACATCTTTAATGATTATATAGTTTTCAATAATTTTTAAACATATAAAGGGTGTATGAAAAAAAAAATGGAATAAACTATCATTTTAGTTTCTCATTTTATAAGATATTTTGATAATAGACCCTAATATTTAAAGAAAAAAATAGCAAATAAATTTTCCACTTACATTATTATCTCTAACTTATTATCATTTTAACACTTGGAAAATGTAAACATATATATTATCATTATAGTGCTAAACTTTTTACAACTTTGGATCATTTGGACCACGATAAGGACCAAAATCACTAACAAAACGAAGATGGAAGGATTTATTTATATAGTTTCGAGACAAAATTTAATAGCAGTTACAGAATGAGGGACTAAATGTTAAAATAAATTTTGATGAGTGTAAGGCACATTCTGTCCCTAGTGTCAGAACTCTTCTCTTGTCTAGTTGTCTGATATGAGGTAATGTAATGCGTGGAAAATAAAAATTAAAAAAAAAAAAAAAAGAAAAAAAAGAAAAGAAAAAAATTGATAGTTTAGTGGAAAAGTGTGATGTTAGGCTCCTTCCCTTAAAATGTGAATCTTCTCGTGAAGTTAGTGAGTTGTCCATGGCTCTGTGAGTTGCAGCCAATCCAGAAGCACACGTGGATCCCATTCATTTCTTCTCAGAAACCACCTTTCTCATAACGCAGACATCATCATGCATGGTCATAATTCATAACAACTCTTTCACATTATCATACAAAGAGATAATAAAAGGTTTCACATCACCATATTCATTCTGACCATGAATACAATTTTTTTATTTATTTTTATTTAAAGTTTAGGCCAATGTCATGTGTATGTGTGCATATAGTTAGAAAAATAGACAAGTGGCAGAAAGTGATGATTTTGCATTCATCAATATGTTAGAAAAATTAAATTTAATAGAGCACAATAAAAGTAAATATTTAGATTTATCAATAGAACCAATATCAACAACACAATGAATATTATAAAATTAAAACAGAATAATCAATAACAATTAATTAAACACAAAGAGTAAATTAGAATGTTAAATAAAATCTTTCTGTTGTTAAACAAATAATAAATAACTAATTAGATATATTCTAATGGGGATATCAAAATATAACAGAATCTGTTATTATTTAACACATATAAATCCCCCCACGTTTTGTGCTAAGAGATTGATCCATACCAATTTCACTCTCTTTCCATACACACACACGCCAACACGCCCCTCTTCAACCACTTCTCATCTTTCCACATTGTGTTTGGATAAAACCAGATCAGATTGTTCGATCTTGGAATTCAATCATCATAGTCCTGTCTCTCTTGTGCTTCTTAACACATTGCCGTTAAATGGAAAAGAAAGTCCTTGATCTCGTATTAGTCCCAAGTGGTCTCCTTGTCATGCTGGCATACCATTTCTGGCTCCTCCACCAAATCATCAAACACCCCACCAAAACAGTCGTTGGTGTCAATGCAATCAATCGACGTTTCTGGGTCCAAGCTATGATGGAGGTATGTAAATCCTCAACTGGGTGTTAAAAAGTTTGGATTTTTTTTTTTCCGGATTCTATCTTTTCAATCATGTTTTTTTAATTGAAAAACTTGATCGATATTTTTAAATTATATATTTTCTTTTCATTTATAAAACTTAACATAAAACCTTATACTTTAAAGAAATGAAATACAGTTTCATTTAGATCATAGCATGATACCTGTGTATCACTTTTAAAGTAATTATTGTAAATATCAGTAATTCTGAAAACAATTTAAGATCAACAGAAGGTGTAAAATAATTGTATGTACTGTGTGTATTCTAATTGAATTCTATGTTTGTGTGTAATAATGTTGATTTGGTTTCATGTGATGTGAAGGACGTGTCCAAAAACGGGGTTCTAGCAGTGCAATCATTGAGGAACAACATAATGGCATCGACCCTTTTGGCTTCGACAGCAATAATGTTAAGTTCCCTAATTGCAGTGTTGATGAGCAGTGGCAATGGGAGGAAAACGGTGGTGTATGAGGTGTTTGGGGACAGGACTGAGCTTGGTTTGTCCATAAAGTTCTTTTCCATATTGGTGTGTTTCTTGTTGGCTTTTCTGCTGAATGTGCAGTCCATAAGGTACTATAGCCATGCAAGCATCCTCATCAACGTGCCCTTCAAGAAAGTCACCCCAAACCTGAGGCACCAAATGCTCACTGCTGAGTATGTGGCCTCCACTGTGAACCGAGGCAGTTACTTCTGGTCCCTTGGCTTGCGTGCCTTCTACTTCTCTTTCCCTCTTTTC